CAGCTTCTTCTGAGCTGAGTTTTCATTGGTTTTAGGCCATAGGTTATTCTGGGTCTTACAATCGTCAAATAAATCCAGTGGATTATTTTTGGTTTTAGACCCCTTGACTGTGTTTGAAATTTCTAAAATTATTCCTTTCAGTTTAATATTATTTAAGGACAGTTTTTCTTCTTCGTGTGAATGGTACAACAGTTGTTTTAGATGGATTAATATTCAATCCTTCGCCATTGCACCACGATGAAACATAATTTAAAGCAATTTGCATTCTACTTGAAATGACATAGTCATATTTTCCACGCACTAATATGATTATATCATCTGCAAAGCCAGTAATCTCGAAGCCTTGTGCTTCTAAGTTTTTTAGAAGGTCATCAACTATTAAAGGCCACAGTAGAGGTGAAAGAACTCCTCCTTGAGGACACCCTTTTACAGCTCTCACTGTCATCCATAACAGTGAGAGCTGTAAAAGGGTGTCCTCAAGGAGGTGTTCTTTCACCTCTACTGTGGTCTTTAATAGTTGATGACCTTCAATCTTCGAAATTCTTAAAAAATATTTCGTTTTGATGGCTATCTCAGTCTAGGGCAGGGCGTCACAATATCAGCTTCAATCGACCAAATCGATGCGACGAAGAGACTGCTGGCTTTCTTTTTCAGTTAAAGTCGAACAGCTTCGCAGAATTCAAGAACCTCAGTCGACTTGCACAAACAAATCAAGAACAACATGTGAAAAGGGCATACAAGCTTTTTGTAAACAAACCTTCTTATGCCCTTTTCTCACTACCCATATGACACCAACGCAAACCATCAACATCATCGGATAGGGGAAGCTTTCTTCTTCCCGATGATGTTATTAGTTTTCGTGAGGGACCCTCGGTTGGCGAGAAAAGGGCCTACAAAGGTTTATTTACAAAAAGCTTGTATGCCCTTTTCACATGTGGCTCTTGAAATGTTCAATCGCTTGTCTCTCTTTCTCCCGTCGCTCCATTGGTCTTCCGTTCAAGCTTCGGTGAAACGGATGAGCGAAAGAGCGCTCGACTTTGATAGTTTTCTCTTTCATGAAACACATCAACAAAGGTTTCATGACGTATATGACGGAAAATGAAATTACATATTTAAAGCATTTCTCACGTGAAAACACTTGAAGATTACACGTAATATGTTTAATTTATGTTCCATCCACATATTTATCTAAAAAAAATTAACGAAAACGATAGAGTGATAGAGTGTTCGTGAAAGGGGATTGAAAGCCATAATGAGGTTTCGTTTAACTAGAAAATCGACGTTACTTACATTGAAAGCGATGAGCAAAGCAACGACGAGAAGATCCACAGCCAGCGTTTCCTTCTAAGCGTGCTTCTTTTTCATTATCATTTCTTGCTGATAGTCTAGCTAGGCGTTATAGAAATGAAGCGTTAAACACGTTTGTATGAGAGAAACAAAACTCGAGTTAATTTTAGAGCTTCGAAAATGTAGAGCCCTGGTCTAGGGTAATTCAAACAGTTAGTTGTGCATTGCCCAACAGTAGTGTAACGAGGTTACAATAATGGAACGATTTTCTGATTTTTTATTTTTATTGACTTTCGATTCAAATCGGCTTGGAATCGAAGCAGCAATATTCGAGCACTTTTTTGGATCGGTAGCGCCTCTGGTGGTCAATGTAAGTACCATTATACATGCCTATCAAAATGCATTTCTGGAAGGACACTCATCTTAAGTGAAGAGCACCAAATTTTAGACTGACAAGGGAACTCGCGCCGATTCTAGTGTAAGATGACTCTGCAGAAGTAAAACCCCAATCAATAGGTCCTTTCCAAGTCAGACAGCAACCCATGCGGACGTAGTCCCAAATTGAACCAAAAAAAAAGTGATATCGAGGAAGAGTTGCTAGCAGTTGGAATTCATTAGTACACCGTTACAGAATTTGGAAAATTTTATTGAATAGTGTAGAATTAGATTAGGCCCAGTGTACGGAAACAAGAATTTATGAAGTAAGTCAATCATGATGTGCCAAGATGGCGAGTGTTTAATTTTCAATGTATTTTGTGTGTCAAATTGGAATTTGAAATAATTGCTGTATCCAGTAAACCAGCATTGACCGTTGAATCTACTGCTCGAGGCTCAGGTAATTTTGGAAAAAAACTGCATGAAACTGTTTTGTGAAAAGTCCCTTCAATTTGATGCTAATGCATGTGCGTTAGACTGATGCAAAATTTGAAATTTTCGCTCCACAGTGCTCAAACGGTTCCAAATTGGGTCCTGCTTAGCCTCCCAAAAGTTGAACTACTTTAGTAAGAAACTGACTTGGCACAAACCATTTCAAGTTTATATGGGAAGTACTATGGGAAAACTTATGTTTTTGTTTATATTTATCTAACAATTCACCACATCAATGTGCTTTTAAAAATTATAGCAGTAATTGTAGGTAATTTTATCAGCTACAACTTTGTTCAAAACCACTTTTCAATCAAATGCACGGAACAAAAGTTATTAATGATTCAAGTCACTGGTGTCGTCTTATGAGTATGCTCATTCAACTGTTCATCAGGCAACATTGGTGTTTCTGGTGAGAAGAATAGAGGACAAAAATCATGGCTACTATGTCACACTGCAGAATACAGTGTTGCTAACAGAACAGCTGCTTGATCATGCCTTAAGATTATCAATCTCTTAAACAATTAATAACTATTTAATTTGACATTTAGCTGAAAAACGATATTCCGCAAAGTTGTAGCTTAGAAAAATTCCCGTAAGAATAGTTATAGGACTTTTCGAAAAAGCAATATGGAAAATGGGTAGAAGACAATGAACAAAAAGTAATTTCCATATAAACTTCGAATGATTTGTGCCAAGTCAGTTTCTTACCAAATGAGTTTAAATTTTGGGAGGCAATTTAGGACCTGATTTGAAGCCGTTTGAGCACTGTGGAGCGAAAATTTCAAATTTTGCATCAGTCTAATGTGCGTATGGTTTCTTTGTTTCGTGAAGGAATCGATCCTTCACGCGAAGGTGTTCCTGCCGGGTTCTAGAACCGGATTGTAGGTTGCAGGAGATTTCGACTCGCTACGTCTTCTCTGGGTGGACCCCGAAGCTTGGCGGCTTGTAGGCTTGCCCTCGTCGTCCGACCAGTGGTTACCAACGCACCTACGGGCCAAGAGAGGAACTCCACGACTCCCAACAACCGTCTTCGGAATCCAATTGCCAGTACGTTCCGATTTTTTATCAACGGCCTCGAGACAGTTGACGGTTCGAGATAGCTAATACCACTCGAACACGTTCATGTTAGTGCGAGCGCGCTACGGTTAGTCTGGACATCAACCACTCACAGCATCAGAAAAAAACACCACCACCAGTCCCTTTGCCGTCTACTACTTGCAGACTTCATCAGTGCCTAGTACTCAACACCACTCTTTAGGGACATTTCTAGATAGAGCTGGAATTAGGGCGTAACAGCCTTTGTAAACAATGACTTCTCTTGTTGATTTCTCGGAATTCAAGGCACGCCTACACAAACCAACACATCCATCCGGTAGTAGAAGTCTTCCTCTACTCGATGGTGATGTTGATTTGCCAGGGAGAGCCATGACTTCCGAGAAATCATCTAGAGGAGTCATTGTTCGCAAAAGCTGATACGCTCTAATTCCAGCTCTATCTAGATTTTTGAGATCTCAGATTTAGGTAATAATTCTAGAAGCCGGACTTAGGAAAAACATCCAGACTACGAAAAATTATTGACATACGGGGACTCACTTGATCACGGATCTCGAGAAACTCTGATAAGAAGTGCAAGATGAGTTTCTTGAACCTTGGTTTAATGCCAAAATAAAAATAAAATGTTAGAGGTTATGTGGTTTTCAGTCTTTTGAAGCTCAAAAACGGGGTTTTAAGTTTTAATTTGACGTTTCTGTCTCATGTATTGTGCCTTTTTCAAAGAATTAACTAACTTTCGAGGAGTACATTCGAGGACACTTCTACTCACTTAACCACTCCAGTTTTGCGGTAGTGGCGGGAAATTCAACATGAACCGGCTAGTAGGACTTGGGTGCAGTTTCTCGTTTTGGTGCCACTTTAACTGACCAAAACGAGAAACTGCACCCAAGTCCTGCTAGCTGGTTCATTTTGAATTTTCCGCCACTACCGCAAAACTGGAGTGGTCAAGTGAGTAGAAGTGTCCTCGAATGTACTCCTCGAGAGTCAGTTAATTCTTTGAAAAAGGCACAATACATGTGACCGGAACGTGAGATGAAAACTTAAAACCCCGTTTTTGAGCAGCAAATGACTGAAAGCCACATAACCTCTAACATAGTTCGTAACAGTCGATCCCGCGAAAAAAAAATATGTATAAGCAAACGTCAAGTGGTCTATTGACACTCTGAACACGATGCCTTCGGTAAAGTGTGTAACGGCAAACTTGCAATGTTTGTGTTGTGTTATGTCTAACGTACATTATGCCTGAAAATCCTACACATACCCAATGGAGTAGGCCCGTTTTCAATAATCCATGACAGTTTGAAGAAGGGTTTAATATGAAAACCCCCTACTGGTTGTGCCTGGTCATATCATAAATTCCGAATGTTCTGGAATCTGGTTTAATTTGATATGAATGTTCAGAAAATTCAAAAATGTAAATGTTACTTTTGAGATCCGTTAGGTTGTGGGGTACTCGGGAGCCAGGTTTTAAATATCGTCTCAATTTTGGATTAGGTTTCGGATGTTGTAAAAACCGACTCCAGGAAGCCACTTTAAAATTGGATCGTTTGAAATATTTTAGATTTTTTTTTAATTTTTTGGTTTATTTGGACTACTGGGAGTCCATTTAGAACAGATAACTGGTTGAAGCGTTTTCAAACAGTTTACAACTGGAGCCTGGACCAATTTAAAGGTGAAATTCAAATCAAATCTGCTGAATACAAAAAAAAATCTTTTCAAACCATTTTCGAAGAATTTTTGAATCTTGAAACCACTGTGCAGCAGTGGATTTAGGATGGAAAAATTCTACTTACGTTCAAAAGAGTCTGCTGAGCTTGTACCTCCGTCACCGGTTTGGCTGCCTATAAATAGAAGAGACCAACAACAAAGAAACGCATGACAAAATGGCACGTGATTAAAATTGTTGCGTTTTCCCCGGTGTCCCGTCCCTAAAAACCGCACCCGGGCAACGAAAAATTAATGCGACCTGTATTAAAAGTGACCACCGAAAATCGTATGACAGCAGCAACAACAACAACAACAATAAATTGGAACCGCAACAGCAAAAAAAAAGTAATAACAAAGGCTTACAAACGGAGAAATAACCGACCGACCGGTGATGGTGTCACCGACAGGATAAAAAGGATTAACGAGTCTTTTTGGTCGCAGAAAAACAAAATTAAATTTATCGGTTTGAAATTTGTAGCACTTTATCCAGTCGGTTACTTGCGCTCTGCTTTCCGTTATATTTCATAATAATGCCCGTTATCCACTGTCAATCCACCCCCACACCCACCATGATCACAATGCTGATGATGATGATGATGATGATAATAACAGCGGGGCACAGTTTAAAATAAGCGAGTCCTTTTTGGTTGATGCAAAAAATCGAAGAAGCAGAACACAGGCTCTCAAACGAGAGCAGCGCGGTGTGCATGAATAATGGATTATCAGGAGTTGCTGTTGTTGTTGCTGTTGTTGTTGTTGCCGTTATCGGGGTTATTATTGTTGTTACTTTTATCGCGATATTTAAAGGGCCCTGTTGTGCAATAATTTTGGTTTTCATATGATTCTTTCTGTTTCCCGCGGAGGCGTTCGGTACCTGTCATCGTCATTTGAAACAAGTGACCACCCATTAATTATTTACCGAGGTGGAACGAGTTCGATCGACGTTTTGCATTAAGGAGGTGGAGGAGACTGGAGAGATATTTTTCCATTTTTTTTCGGCGAGAAAATGGAGATCAAAATTATGCAAGGACAAAAGGTTGCTCATCGATTAAACATGGGGTTTTTTTTTGGCGATTGGGAATATGAAAATGTGTGCGGAAGTATTGAAGGATTGATTGCCATTTAAGCATTGATTAATTTTCTACTAAATATGATAGAATCACAGAGAACAGACATTGAGCTGGAACAAAATTTATATACAAATTTGTGCTACACGGCCAATAAGATAGAGTGAAAAATTAGTTGTTTTTCACTAAAGGCTGGAACGGTCAAAAATTGGTCAACTCAAATTTTACGAATTTTTTTAATCGTGCATAAAAAATCACTTGAACACCCCTCATTTTGTAGGTCTGTGCGTACGGAATGTTGTCTTTATTTTGCTTTTGCCATTTTCCATTTAGTTGACGCCATGAAGCAAGAGACGCATTTTGCGCCAAATCGAATCGAAGCTGGCAACACCCTTTTAATTTCAATGAAATTTTCTGGATGTGTAGACTTTGACTAAATAAGCACTTTTGCATTCTCAGTTTTTCCAAAATGTATCTAGGCTAACCTTTAAGAAGGGTCAAACTTTTTCTGCCGATTTTTTTCGAAAAAAAAAATATGGAAAAATGACAAAATGTGTTGTATGGATGACTTTTAGGAAATTGTCCAAGTTTTCGAAAAAAATAAAATACTGAACAAATTCCATTTGAGACCTACACTGAAAAAAAATCAATTTTTAAAATTTAAAGTCGATTAAAAAAACGGCCATGTTTGATTTGGTTGCAACTTTGCCTCAAAATAGGTAATTATGATTACTACCATCCGTCCATACATCGCGAAATGGGCACTATTAATGAAAAAAAAAAAAAAATTCTTACAAAAACTTTTTCATGTCTGAACCGATTTTTTTAACGTACCATTTTCACACAAAACTAAACAAGTAAACAAGTGAAGCTTAAAATCATCTCAGAACCCAATGAAGCTCAATTTGTAATTCAAATGTCTAATCAGCAACTTGGATTAATCGAAAATTCCATATGAAAAGGGCTTATATCATTAGAAAATAATATAATTGATTATATTGTCTACTACGGAGGCAAAATCCGATTCTTCTATAGCAACTTAGCATTTTTAGCTAAAATAATCCATTAAGAATGAGGTATGAGTAAAATTTAAAATGAGATCTTCTTTCATATCAACAACGATTTGGGAAGTCACCCTATCGCATCATAATTCTATACACCTCTATTCCCGTTTTCGTACGAATCGTTCGCTCGTACGAACGGTTTGATTCGAACGAGTTCGAAAACGGCATTCTGGTTTTCGTACGAATCCGTTCGAACGGAGGTTTTTTCGAAAATAAACAGTGTTAGTGGTACCAGATGCACTTTGACATTTCTTAACAATTCGAAGCATAGACCGCGCACGAAATTGACCTTTTTCGGTCAAGTGGACTATCAAACGATGTCAACAAAACAATAACATTGTTAAAATTTTGTTTTATGATCAGTTTGTTTTCAATTCTACAAACGAGCAATTGTCTACGAATTCGCAAATCGGTTTATTTTTGTGTTTTTTTATTTGGTTGAAAATTTGCAGAAACGTTCCTTATGACCAACAATGCCATTTTGCATCTTTATATCACCAATTTGAATCCAGCCTTATTTTTGAAAAGGGGCTATAGAAAAATATCAAGCTTATCTTCAGAAAATTTTTACTTGAAAACTGTTAGCCCGATCGGTTTGGTGTCTTCGGCAATATTGTAGATAATGGATGAGACTATTTGAAAAAATATACACTCTAAAAAAATTTACCCAACTTTAAACATTTAAAAACATTTTTTCTCAAAAAAGGATTTTCTGTATTTTTTTTTATTTGTTGATATGTTTTAGGGGACAAAAATGCCATCTATTGCACTATAGGTCAAAATAGAGAAATGATGGACAAAAAAGTTCTGATTTTTTTAAACCTCAAGTTTTTGGAAAAATATTAAAAACTTGGTCCAATTCCTGTTTTGAGTTTATATAATGAAAGTAAACCAAATTTACAATAAAAAAGCACCCGAGTAATTTTTTCTAAGTCACACCGTTTTAGAGATATCGCGGTTTAAAAGTAGATGGCCATTTTTAAATGTATTTTACGGTTCTCCAGTTCCGACAATGTTTTTTTCGGAAAGATCAGAAAATTTTACAATAAAAATGCTCTTGGAGGCTAATTGCTAACATGCTACCTATTACCATAGAGGTAACTCTAAGACTAGAAGGTCCCGAAGAAATGTGCTCAACTTTTTGGCTCAGCTCTGGTACTCTCTTCGGTCCCAAGCTAATCGATTCACCCCTCGAAACATAGGAAAATAGACTAACCCCTCATTTTATCTGTCAAACTTTCATAGCGAATAAAAAAAATTTGTGTAGTACTAGAATGCCGACTAGAATGGGGTACGTTAATCGTTTGCTTGGGACCAATAGGCTAGTCAAGTAGTGAGCCAATTTAAAATCGTTAGTTTCCACCGGTTGCTATTACTAAGCAATTCATGGTTGCAAGTGGGTTGGTTTTGAATTACCTACGTTCATATATAATCCAAATCTGACACGTTATTAACATTAGAATATAATTCGCTGTGTTTCTGTGAAAGTGACCTGCTTAAGTTCAGTCATTCAGAAGACCACTTCGGTAGTTAGAATGAATACTTTTCATTATAAGTGCATAAACGTGTTTAAAAAAGTTGCTCGAAAGATTGCCGAAATCTCACGGATACTTATATACAGAAATTGGTTGTTCTGGGTTTTGCGGAACAGAACCAACTTAACAGTAAATTAAAAATTTGTGATTCTTGTCGTATACAGTTTTCTAAACGTACCGAACTATCAAGTAGCGACGAGTTGTCGAACTGCGATGAACAAGATATCAACATGAATGTTTCAAATCAGGAATCTTTAGTAACTGTACCATCAATAACATCGGTTGAAACAATCGACTCCAATGTTGGCGAATATTCGCAAAGCGTTAAGATTGAACTTTTCAACAAATCTATATCTAGTATTTTGACATTACCAATAAAAAATTAGTTGTGTAAGTTATGCTGTGAAGAAACATCATGAAATTAATCAAAGAATTAGAAAGCTCGTTAGAAAGCATATATTTGTACTTAATGCAGAAGAAACCTAGATGACAACAAAACTGACGATTTTAATGAAATTAATGAACAGCTAACATAAAAGTTTTCGAAAGAAGATACAACGAAAACTGAGATATTTCAGCTCTTGACGGTATACCAACCGGTGGAAACCAACGATTTTAAATTGACTCACTACTGTACTAGCCTATTGGTCCCAAGTAAATCGATAAACGTACCCCATTCTAGTCGGAATTCTAGTACTACACAATGTTTGTTTTGATTCGCTATGAAAGTTTGACAGATAAAATGAGGGGTTAGTGGATTTTCCTATGTTTCGAGGAGTGAATCGATTAACTTGGGACCGAAGATAGTACCAGAGCTGAGCCAAAAAGTTGAGCACGTTTCTTCGGGACCTACTAGTCTTAGAGTTACCTCTATGGTATTACCAAGATCATGGACAGTTCAGAAAATTATGGACACATTTAACACAACCAGGTATATGGCAACACAAAATAAAGAACTTTTAAACGATAAAGGACGAAGACTCCACTATTACTTTGAGGTTAGGCAGGGGATTGAGTGATGATACGATGAAACCAGCAGAACAATGCCTGGGCAGCGTGATTGCGTAACAATAAGAAAAGATGATGGTAAGCGTCAGTCAGTTCAAAAAAAGGTTTATGACGACCACTTTACGGGAGTCCTACAACGGATTCAAAGAATTTAATAGTGAAGTACAAGATGGGTTTTCAACCTTTGCGAATCTCAGGCCTACGAACTGTAAATTGTTAACTAGTTCAGGGACACATAATGTGTGTGTGTATGTACTATTCATGAAAACGTTAATTTGATTATTCACAACTTAAAGAAATTTGATTTGTCCATTGATTTGAAGTCGATTACAGATAGTTTGATATTTGAAAGAAAAGCAATAGATTGCTGCCTACGACGCTGTGAAACTGCATGGATTCATCTTTTTTCGAACAAAAGTTATTTGAAGAAATCGTGGAAAATGGCATAAATGAAATACAA